TTTAATGATATATTATTCTTTTAAACTTTATGCTTTTACCTTGTTCTTATTCCTGCATGTTTAACATTACATAGATTGTTGTTCAACCCAGCACATGGGAGCTTGATGTTGATACACACACTTTCCTACGCATAATGCCCCAGTTGTTTCCGCGGGTCCATTGTGTTCATGCCCCCACAACAGATTTGATTATCATGTAGTTTGTTGAAGTCGCCCTGTTTAGTAGCTCTACTGGGGGTAAAAAGGTTTGGGTGTCTTTGCCAAACTTAAAAGCAAGCATTCATACCATTTCTAATTGTTTTTTAAAGTAGTTGGAGTCATGTTTTGTTAGTGTCTTAGCTTGGTAGAAAACATATTTTTGATGTTATGTAAATGTGCTTGGGTTTACTCTAGCTGCCATATGTTTTGCACAAGGCTTTTTTCCTTTACATTATAGGTAACAACTAAATCATCGGATGATGTGAAACATGAGCAGATTAAGATTTTTATAAGTCCAAGGCCTGGTAAAGAATCCTTAAATGAAACCACTGAGATTAAATGTTGTCTTGTGAGAAACATGGAAGAGAGGAAGGAAGAGTATGACAGGGCACGAGCTCGAATTTTTAGTAGTCTGAGTAGTAGTAGTCTTGATTCGGTACATACAATGTCTCGGGCCCCTTTAGAGGGGAAGAATATGTGTTTCAGTGGAGATGATAGTGAAGCTTTAGGTGAAAACCTTAGCAGCAGGGATAGTGGTACTCTTTCTCGAGTAACTATTTTCAGAGACAGTCAAAAGGATCGCATTGACCTAGATTATGACCAGAGTTGTGAAACGTAAGATATCGGTATTGGTCTTTGCACTGAGATTTAAAGTTATTTAGTTGCTAGCTATTATGCAATGTAGAAAATTTGTTTTAGCAGTTATATTTGTGGTGCCAAGAATTGGATTTTCAAATTGGGATTGTAAAGTTATATTTTGATTAAATGCATGTTAATTGTATGAAATTTTATAATGGACGGGATTTGGCAAATGAACCGTTTGTTGAAATGCTACATATACATACTATGTGCTCTTTCTCTCCTACATCACGCTAAATTCGATAGGAGCTTGATTATTTGATCATAAGTCTTTCTCTACACACCCCCATATCTTGTCCTAGATTAGTTGGTAATTTGTTACAATCTCTCTAAATTCTTACTTATATCAATCTAAATCCTCCCCCACCACTACATACAAATGTGTGTGCTCATTAGTTTTTTAGATAATTCAGGGAAATGGAATTGATGACAATAATTATGTTGAATCCAACTACCGACAAAAGTAAGGGGTCTTATATTTCGGATATACAAATGTTTTATTTTGCCTCACATATTTCAATAATTTTTATATTTCAAATATTTTCAAGTATACATGGAAGGATATGAAGATAAAGTTGAAATTGTTTCTCTATTTGTGCATGTGTGTATTTTTTGTGTTTTATCTTTTGTACATTTAACTAATTATACATGGTTATGATGATTTTGGGTATGGAATGATGATTGTTTTGGTGGTTGGGTATGTATTAAGAGGAAATTCTGCCAAAATTTCTTGAAATTGGTAGAAACTAGGTTGATGTTTTGGTGGTTGAATATGTGTTGATGACTGTGTATGTGTTGATGATTGTGTATGTCTTGATTATTGTGGTGGTATGGTGAATTATGATGATTGTTATGTATGATTGTAAGTTCTATAGACAGGTTTAAATTTTTATGAATTCCTATTTTTTGATAAAATTTTGCTGAAATTTCCAAATAATAGTATGGACTACCTTGATTTCAAATTGACAGGTTGTTTTAGTTTGCAAAAAGTCTTTCAGTAATGTAGTATTCTTCAAGTTTTAATTTAATTTTTCGTTACTCCGTGTCTTTAGGCATGGACAATTACTAGTATAGACATATTCTAGCCATATTGGTATCATGTTATACTCATAATTCGTATCTGTATTGATATCTCTGCTTCCTAGCTAAGAAGATAACCTTTTGTGATTGTAGAGGACCTAGAGGCAACAGAACCTTGTTCTTGGATCAGAAACTTTTGTGTCCTACTCTACATGATCTTCTAATGGACTGATTTAACCACTCCATATTTCGTAGGCTTGATCCAACCTAATCTAGAATTCAAATCTACCTTTCAACCTCAAATTTATTTGAGATTCATTACTGTTATTTAGATTTGATTCGTTAATATAATATAGCGTTAATTACACTGGAGGTCCCCAAAGTATGGAGTTTGTATCATTTTAGTCTCTAATATTTCAATTGCATTATTTTGGTCCCTGAAGTATTGAATATGTTTTTATATTATTCCTTCAAGCAAACAACGTCTAGATTGCTGACGATTTTTTATTATAAACTTGTCATGTGATACTTAAATATGGAAAAAAATAATTTAGATAACTCTTGACCAAATTGCTACTCAAATTTTGCATAAATAATTAACTAAATTACATAGTTTTGATCCTGAGCTATCTAAATTTTAGTCAAAGCTACTCATGTTACACATTTTTTTGTTAAGAGCTACCAAATTTTGTTTAAAAGCTATCAAAATTATTTTTTGTCCATATTTAAGTATTACGTGACAAATTTATGATAAAAAGTTATTGGCAATCTGGATATTGTCTCCTTGAAGGACCATATAGAAACATATTCAATACTTCATGGACAAAAATGATGCAATTGAAACATTAGGAACTAAAATGAGACAAACCCTATACTTTGGGGACTTCTAGTGTCAGTATTAAGACCCATTTTTAGTTTTAACACGATTTAATGAGATCCTAAGATAAACATTTCTTAGAAACCTATACAAGATGTAATCATCTAAAATTATATACTACAGATTTGCATCTAGCCTCCATCTTAACATGCTTATCCCTTTGATATACTCTGAGCACTGTACCATGCAGATAATCTTTGGATTTCAACCAGCAAATTAAGTAACCTGAATCACTAATTTTCAGTTGGACTAAAATGAAAAAAAGGTACAATAAACTATAAGACTCACAACCAAAAGGAAATGTATTGGCAGAAATAGTTATTTTCCTAAACTACATAAAGAATAAATTGGAAGAGCTTATCCTAAATTATAGATGTGGAAAAGGAAGGTAATCATGTGCTATGAAACAGAGAACCATAATCAGGTCAAAATTAGGTTAACCTGATTTTGATATGAACTTGATATAATTTTTTTCATGTTTAAGCGTGATGATCCATTTTTATCTATTGACCCATTTTATTTCGTGTCCGACCTATTGATTTCATGTTCAGTTCGATTCGTGTTAACATGTCGTATCAAAAATTGACAACCGTAGTGGTGATTGGTAGTTGGTGGGCAACAATGGGTGGTGGCTAATGGATAGTGGTGACGGGTGGTGGAGGTGGAGATGGGTGGTGGTGGCAACGGGTGGTGGTTTGCGGCAATTATGGGTTGTGGTAATTGGCAGGAGATAAAGGGTGGTGGTGGTGGTGGTGGTTGATGGCGATGGTGGGTGGTGGTGATGGTTTATAACGATTGTGGCAGGTGGTTGGTGTTAGTGGGTGGGGGTTGTGTGTAGTGGTTGGTGGCGATGGGCAATGTGGGTTGGCAGTGGGTGGTGGTGGTGGTTTATGGCGATGGAGGGTGATGGTGGTGGGTGTTAGTGGGTGGAGGTGGTGGTTAGTGGCGATGGGTGGAAGTGGTGATGGAGGCGGTGGGTGGTGGTGGTTGATAGCGAGTGGTGGTTAGTGGCGATGGGTGGTGGTGGTGTTGGGATGATAATGGTAATGATAATAAATATAAAAATTAGATAATGGTGGAGGTTTAAGTAACCTCTTTCATCAAGGATGTTTTTGTCAATTATTAATTCTTTATACTTTTAAACTTAAAAAATATTGAGACTTCACCTAAAGCCAAAAAAACCACTTCGTATGAAGCTCTGACCAAATCTCCCAACAAGTTATGGGTTGTTCTAGTTGGGTTGGGGTCCACGTATACTTTTTTGGTTGGGGATTTTGGGTAGGAGTAATAGTCGGTGTTCTTTTTCGAGGCCCAAAATAGTAATTGGATTAAATTTTGCAGCCAAATTGGTGCGGGGCACACACACACATCAAAGGAGCCGAAACATTGATTGGGTGTGGGTATGCCACATCAATTAGCCAACAAAATTAGATCCCAAAATTCAATTAGTATAGCATCTTGAATTACTATAATGATCATCTGTCCCCTAACATTTCTCTCCTTATTGTCCATTTTAAAACTCTACCCTTAACCCCAATGCCATTGAAATCATAGTTTTTTTCCCAAGTCACTAAAATTAGATGCAACTGGATTACTTTATTTGTCACATCTTACATAGGATCTTAGAATCAATTATCTTAATTAATTATGTCCAAACAGATCTGATTTACAGGATATATATTTTTGGCCATATCCTTTATTTGATAAAATTCCTCCAATTTTTTGTTGTATAGGTGTGTAGTATGCAAATCTTCTGGTATGCTGTACACAGAACTTAGAGTCTTCCCATAGTCTTAAGTGGAAGCGATAATCTTTATCCATTACTCTTCAACTCAGCCAATCAGTTTGTAAATATAATTACTAGGTTGAATGCCTGTTTTATTGATGTTGGTAGTGAATGAATTGGTTAATATTAGTCAAATTAATTGAACGGGTTAAATGGATTTTAAATGACTACGCATTGAGTTGACTATTTATCTTTCTATGTAAATAACAAAAATAATAAACCTCAACAAATAAATATACTATTACACTAGAACACACACATATACCAAGCATATACACACAATGTGTTAAACACACTAATATGCCAAAATACAAACACTAATACACTAAAACACATGTACTCATATACAAAAATGAACACGTATATCCACACTAATATACCAAAATACACATACTATAAGAAAAAAATGCACACATTAATACAACAAAAGCAACTTTCCAGACACCAATTTTAAAAAGTATGATGAGAACAAGAATGGATTAACTCCTTGAACCATTCCCAAGACTCATATAAGGTTTTATCATCCTTGACAGGGAAATTCATCATTTGATGCTTAAGGGCATTGGTTCTACGAAGATGGAAGAATTTTTTTGGGAAAATCATTTTGTAGAACTTGCCAGCTAGCTCTAAATTGTGGCTTCAAAGAATTAAACTACATCTTTGCCTTAACCTTCAAGGAGAAAGGAAAAAACTTCAGACGGGATAAATTCTCATTGGTAGTATGATCTTAAAATGTACCGGACACTTCCTCAAACTCTTTAAAGTGAAGGTCTGAGTTTTTTCAACCAATGGAATTGAGGTATCAACTGGATAAAACCGGGTTTGATGTTGAAATTTTTGACACTCGCTTGAAGTATAAAACATGAAGGAATCATACTGCAAATGGGATGCATATAATCCATAGGAGTTCTACCATGTTGACCATAAACTTCTTCCCCTATATCACCCATTAGAAAACTGACTCTATTAAGATCAAATGTAGGGAAAGTAAAAGCCTGATTATGTTATGTACACATTTTTAATATATTTTTATATAGTATTTGAAGTAGTTATTTGGGAGTTATTTTAGTAAGTGGGTTAGTGGTAGAGTATTTTGTAGGTAGTTTTNTTTTAATATCGGGACTATTTTTTAATATTTTTTTGAGAATTGGGAAAAATTCTATGGTCTGCCTTCAAAAGTACACCATCTGGAGTAGGTGAATGATCTGCTCTATATATTAATTAATATAAATGAAAAAAAATATATATGGCCACAGGCATTATTTTCTGCTTCAGGGAATTATTAATATTTGAAAACCAAAAGAAAATAAATAAAAGGAAAATACATAAAATAGGAGACTTGTGGTTGGTTGCTGCTTTGCCTCATAATTATTGATGGCAGACAACACTTGTGGCTTATCACAAATTATGAGTCGGCGCACTAATACATTATCTATATTCTAATATTTATATACATCACCTTTACTATATATATATTTTTATTTTGGCCCGTAATAATTTTTTTGTTCTAAAAGAAGTATTACCAAACGCTAACGAATATCACGGAGGTTTCAGGTGCGATTTATTATCACACTTCCTAAAGGGTAGTCATATTTATTTGGGAGAATTATACTTAAATTTGGTGAGGTTTATTACTTAATTACTCAAATTCCCTAACATTTGAAATATTTCATATAAATTCTCTAAAATTTATACGCGCGAAATATTTAGACCCTTGTTATAAATGTATCCATTAATAAATTATATTCAGATCTCCTGAAATTTGTAAACATACTACTTAAATCCTTTAAATTTAAAATATTATATTTAGACCAAAAATATTTCAATTAAAGATAAAATATCAAATATTTTAATTTTTNATTTGTAAACATACTACTTAGATCCTTTAAATTTAAAATATTATATTTAGACCAAAAATATTTCAATTAAAGATAAAATATCAAATATTTTAATTTTTACAATTAAAATTTATGTTCTACTGTATCATTTATTGAAATAAAATCACAAATAAAAATTTAATTTTTTCTTAAAAAATTGTAATTAGTATATAATTATATTGTCTATTAAAATTTAATTTGGTCGTTTACCAAACCACCACTCCAATTAAAGATAAAAGATACTGTATCTATTACAGTTTGACCACTTGTTTAATTTTTTTGTTTTATTCTAATAGATAGTATAATTATATATTAACTATAATTTTTTTTAAAAAAAATAGATTTTTATTTTTGATTTTATCTCAATAAATGACATAATAGAACATGAATTTTATATGTAAAATTTATATTCTATTATGAGAGGCTTAGACCTCTTATTTGATTTTTTAGTTTTATTCTAATAAATATTATAATTGTATACTAGTTACGATATTTTTAGAAAAAATTAAAATTTTAATTTTATTTCAATAAATTATACAATAAAATATGAATTTGGGTTGAAAAATTAAAATATTTGATATTTTATCTTTGATTAGAGTATTTTTTTGTCTAAGTATAATATTTTACACTTAAGGAGTCTAAATAGTATATACCTACAAATTTCATAAAGATCTAAGTGTAATTTATTAATG